GGTTATGCTGACTCATGCAATCGTTTGACCACTTCATTTAGGCCGCTTCACATTGTCAATTAATGCAGCGACTGGATGGCCCTCAGACTATTTGTGCAAGGTAATGTGGTCCGCCTTTCCTGTCAGCGATGTGCGCCAACATGCTCTCCCGGAAGCCGGTAAACCCCGATCGCCTTCCTACAGTATTGCCAAGGGTCCCATTTTCCGATGTGTGGGGTCAACCGGTGCATCGACTCATGCCGACTGTGACGCCCGCTCCATCCGTGGATTCGGCGTTATACCTTTGTTTAAGACAAAAGAGCACCACAAACCTAACGACTTACAGTTGCCCTTTGTTTTCTGTCCTCATGAGGCTCGCAGTGTCTACACTCAGGACTGGTGCATAACCGTCTGGACTCAGCCAATTTCGGCCACTCGTCTAAGCGGTGAAATAACACAGTCTCGCAGTTCTGTGGACTCGACGGACCGTGCCACCTCGCAGTTTGTTCTCCCAATCACTTTGGAGGGGCAGGTATGTTCACACGTAAAGTATTCCATCTCAGGACATCCTTCACATGATTTCACTCAATCTTTGATTACCGCCTTGTTCTGGAAGTCTGCTTTCTACACCATTTTCAATTAGCGTTACTGATTGCCCTTTTGCCGTCATTCAGATTTTTGGGCCTTGCACGCTGTGATTTATGAAGCCTATTCAGACCATATTGTCCGCAATTGCCACTTCCGATTAGGAGTCAACTTGGATATGATATTGATTGGTCCTATTTCGGGCTGTTGATGTAGGATTATTCCATCTGAAAGTACCATATACAGGTTTTTTGGAGCTAAACTAGGTAACAAAGATATACAGTCGATCTCCTGCTATGTCGAACTCTTCGTCAATCCGAAAATGTGGATGAATTCCGGGTACTGCGACATATCATGTTAATCAGTAGTAGATGGTAATGAGTAGTATGAAAAATCGGTTAGGAGTTTTGTTACAAAATCAACCAGATCGATGAGCAGTTCGTTAATTCCGTTACTTGTTCCCTATGTTTTTTGGAAATGTACTGTTTATTAATAACGGACATTATATAGACCATCCAGCGTATCTTTTATGTATCGCAGAAATTGAAATCTTTTACAATGCCTTCAGCTGAATATTAGTACATTGCATCTGGTATCCGGCCATTTCTCGGTTTCAAGTTTCTAGTTGTCCCGAAAATGCTGGCCTTTCTTTAGGGAATTTTTTCAAATACAATTAGCGCATATTAATCCCAGATATTCCTCCATTTGTTTGCAATGTTAGGCTAACCACAGACTGGAGCATATGATGTTCATGATAATACACAATTGTTTTAGCTCTAATAAACACAACATCAATATTAACCCATTCAATGAAAACAAGAATGAACCAGGTCGAACACACTGAAAACACGGGACAAAATAGCATTCGAGGGAAACCACATCTAACATAAGTGAAATATCTGTTGGAAGACATACTCAGTAGTCGTTGATTATTCATGATTTTCTGTAGAGAATGTGTAACACTAACTCTGTAAACATCTACTTGTTCGTTCGCTTTTATTGTTGCCATTGTGTGTTCCGATCGACTGATACATACGTTATGGTCAGCATCGGCAAACGTAAGTGACGGATTTGCCTACTGTGTCCTGACCTCTAAGTGTTTATGCTCAGTCCAAACGATGCCAAAATCTCGTGTGCAGTCGCTCAATTGGTGTGCTCTCGGTTTCAGTGGATTTTCTTTGTCAAAACTCGTCGTACAGCGTCGAGTCAGCACTCATTTGATGTAGTTCGGTGAGCTACATTCAGTGATATCACTCCCTTGGATACATACCCTACGTGTTTCACGTTTCCGTCGTTCGACTGTTCAGAGCGAATTCTCCATCTTATTCACGCGTGTAAATTTGTTCAAAGTTCCACTCATTACCCTCATTGTGATATCAGTTTGAAGGAAATTCTATGCTCTATCCAACATGATTGTATTCAGCTCTGTGTGATCATTTCTGAGAGAGCTACGGGTATAAATTGTGTTATTCAATTCTGTTCCGTTTTCCATCACGTCCGCACGTGTGTCCTTCCCTCCATCTCCAGTTGCAACGATTGATACGCACCGGTTGCCCCCCGTTATTGTCTTGCACGCGGATTTTTTTCGCTGGCGTGTCGTTGACTCAGCCACGCCGACCTGGCTTCACTTGACCTTTGTCTGCGGCACACCGGTTTTTCTACATTGTGCTAAATTGGATTATACTATTGTGGTTTTTGTGCACTCAAAGGGATCTATTCCATCGGTAATTTCTCAGAAAAGCGAGGCTTCCCAGAACATATGTGTACCCTGGAGTGTTGGCCCCAGGTCCAAAGGGCTCCTTTGTGATAGGTGACTGCACTTCAAATGCACCCAAATCGACGCAGACAAATACGAATTGCTACAGAAATGCCCCTCACCATTGCTGAAGATCGCGTGCTGCTGGTCCTCGGTCATTCCTTCCAAGGAGGACGAATCTCCACTGCTAAAAAACTCTAACCCCCATAACACCGGGCACTGTTTTGAAAGTGACCCCTTCGTACGCAGATGTCATTTCCACTCTACTTAGAAAAGCAGCTCCTGCAGCTGCACCGCAGCAGAAGCACCCGAAAAAATAGGGCAGGGATATCGTCTGCTGCATCGCCCTCACGGACAGACTCGAATCCCTCGTCCACGACATCCAGAGACGGTCCGTGTAACATGTCACGGACAGTTGCGAAGTGCCCCCGCGATTCGCAGGAACCTATGCAGCAGAGGAAACTCCCTCCGAGATCTCATTACCTTATTGTTGTCAATCCTCCCGAGGCCTAGGTCACCACTGCCCAGGCTCGCCTGGACCACGACCTGCAGCTGCTGAGGTCGCACATGGTTACCTTATTCGATGGCGAAGAGGTGGAACCAGCGGCATCGATCAGAGTAAAAGCGGCATTCAGGCTTGGAAAACCCCGCCAGGATAATTCTCCACAACCACTGAAAGTGGTTCTTCGAGCAGAAAGCGAGGCCAAAGAGATGCTCCAGCGGATCCACAAGCTGAAGGGAACTCCGGTGCGATTCCCCAGAGATCTTGATCCGGACCAGCGCAGTAAATTGAAAGCTGCATTAGAAGAACTCAGGGAGCGCCGTGCAAAAAGGGGAAACTGATCTGTGTTTGGGGGTTTTTCGTGTGCATCGGAAGTGCCCTCAGTTGCGTTGGCTACCCTTCGTCGGGGGGAGGACCCAGGAGACTGTTTAACTACGGACGGGGGATTAGCTTGAGGCGCGAATGGCGAGCTTACCACGCTGTGCGAGCCTCAACTAATACCCAAGGGATTCTTGGAAAACGGGATGAGCTGGAGGACTGGGTTGTATCCCACAATCCCGATCTTTTTGCAATTACTGAGACCTGGCTAATACCGGATGTCCGGGACTACTAAATATCACTCCACGGATACACAGTGTTTCGAACGGATCGGTCATCGTCACGTCGTAGTGGTGAAGTTGTTCTTTTCATCCGCTCGGGTCTCCCTGTTCGAATGCTAGAGAATCACGCCCATCCGGAAAGATTTTGAGAAGCTTTGTGATGCAGAATCAAGCTTTGTGCTCGAGGGTATACCACAGTTGGAGTGATTTACCGCACACCAGCTGCGCACGTCCCAGAGCTGCTGGCCAGCATACAGAAGTACGCTTGCGATGGACATTGTCTTATCTTGGGTGATTTCAACGCGTCCCATGTTGATTGGGAAACTGACATCTGCTCTCATCACGCAGATTTGTTTTCCAAAGAACTTTTCGCTGTCCGGGTCCTCTCGCTTGTTCAGCATCTTCATGTGCCCACACGGCTAGTTGGGGATCCATTCTTGATCAGGTATTTTCGCCGAAGCAATCAGTTACGACTAGGATTGACCTCCTTCCACCAATTGCATCCAGTGATCACTCCGATCTGCGTGTATACTGGAGACGTTGCGTACCCCAAACGGCCAGACCACAGGACGGAGGGAATGTGTGGCGCTCATCCTTTCCGGATACAAGTCAGGCTGCGTCGCTCACAAATAGGGATTCCCGGAACCCTGAGGATATGGATGTATCCTGGGAGTTGGGTCGTCATAGAATCCGGCAACTGGTACTGGAATTCTCTCCACCTCATCGCCACCGAACACACTATGGGCCCGACGTGGTTTGACCAAGAACTGCGGGCATGCCTCCGGCAGCGGAATAAGGCCCGGTCCAGGTACCGTGCAACCAGCTCAGAATATGAGAAATATCGATGTATTCTGAATCATTGTACTGCAATAAAAAAGCAATAGAACCAGATTCGAGGAACGACTAGTGGCGGATTCAGTACAAGCACCA